AGAGCCTTTAAATGATAGTGCTTAAGGTCCAGGCCAGGGCACTCATCTCAAGACTGTGCACAAAGGGAGGTTTCCTCAAAAACGGTAACTAGGATTAAAATGAGAACTGGAATTAAATGTTGGTTAGTGAAAACTGACAGATGGCTGGTTATGTATTAAGTCAGAGTCTCTGAGGATTAGGCTGGGGGGATTCTACATTTTAAAAACAAGCTTCTCAAGATAAACCTAAAGTATTCTAAAGTCTGAGAAATACTGATGTAAAGGATATGATCTATACCCTAGAATAGACTAAAATCAAAGTGGAAAGCAGAGACATCTTACTTATGAAATTGAAGGATAATTCCGCGGTCCTGATTAGCTATTGGCTCCCCAAGACATTGCCTCCCTGTATCCACCTCTTGCCCGCATCAACCATCTATTTAATCCTTGTATAAACAGTTTATATTTGCAGCCAATCATAATAAATATAAATGTTCACTCATATTTTTATGGAAAATATACAGATGCATAAAATCTAGTTTGGAGAACTACTAATCAAAACGCAAACAATGAAAAAGAAAGAATCACCCAAGGATAATATTTAAAAAACACATGACAATAATATAGAATATATGTGTAATATAAGTAAAATCCTTTATTTCAAACTCTGTGCATACTCTCTATATTTTCTAATTTCTCTGAAATAATACATACTAATTCAACTCATTGGGAGGATAAATTGATCATTGTTAGTAACCATATTCAGACTTTCACATGGCTGGCAGTTTCAGATTTTCCCAAATCAAGTTCTGACAAAATTTTTAAAATTATACAAGTTTTAATCAATGGCACTTTTCTGAATGTCAAATAAGAGAAATTGTCCAACATTTGACTACCCTCTTCATGTTTAGTTTATTAATAGGAAGAACATTTAGAAAGGCATTAGCTAAAGCAAAAAGAAAATTTTAATAGGAACAACTAAAGAATAATGTGAAAGGAAATTATAAACAAATACATGGCAGTATAAGTCTAGATTCTAGATAGTGTCTAATAGTTGATTTAATAATCTTAAAGCCTGGTCATCTCAAAATAGCTACAGTGGGTGAGAGCAAAATAAACATCAGCTTTTTTGCATGTCGTATTAATGTGAGATAATCATAGACAAAACAGAAGACTTAGAGGGAGTTCTGAAATAGAGAATCAACCCCGGTATGGTAGCTGTGGCCAGCGCAACCAACAACAGCCTTTTTCTTTTTAATAGAAAAGTATCTAGCAGTCACCAATAATTGCCATGCTTCTAGCTGATCACATAGAACAGTGAAACAGAGCAGTTAGTAAATATGCTCAGGCAATTAAGAAGGCAGTGGACTCCTTAGCAGGAGCTCAGTAAATAGTCCTTATTCAATAGTAAATCATTTGAGGGAGCTGCTACTGCTATGTAGCACCTACCCATCATTTTCCCCTTATTTTCTCTTTCCTCTGGGTCCCTACCTATACAACATAAGGAGAGAATAATCACCATCCACGGTATCATCTCTGACCAAGATGTTAATTGTCTATCTGGATGCCAAATACAAAGGTATCTGAACACATGCAAAACATAACCTAAATTGTGCACTTAACTAGAGGCTCATCTGAAAAAGAGGAATAATGAATAAACAGTAATTTGGGTCTAAGCAAGAAGGGATGTTTATGCTCTTTTTATGCATAATATTTCAAGTTTTTGTCTCTGTGAAGTTTAGAGAGATTTATTAAAAGCACATTAAAATGTAGCTAGTTGATTAACTCACAAGTCAAGTCTTGTGGGTATAGACCATAGTTACTATAATGTAATAGTTAATAATTATTATAATAAACATTTATGCTGTGTTGTACATTACCAAAGTGCTTTGCAAGATTCTTAGTTTTTGGCTTGCTGATACTAAATCAACTAAAGCCAAAAGCAGTGTCATCTTTATTCACTGAACAGAATAAAGTTTCACATTTTTGTGGTACCTAGAGAGAAAAAGAAACAGACTAAAAGTTTAAATATTTGGAGTAAATTAGTTGAAATACAGACCTATATAATTTAAATAAGGGCATAATGAGGCTCCACACTTCTAAAATCAAATCATTATTACAATGATGTTATTTTAGGGCCTCCCTGGTGGCGCAGGCGGTTGAGCCCAGAGCTGTAGAGCTGTCTGCAGCCTCTGCAGCACCGGTCGATCCCAGCCAACAGGCGAGGATCCCACATGGCACGGCAGACCTCTCCTGTCTTGCCCGCTGCTCCCCTCAGCAGTGTGTTTCAGTCAGTCTAACTTCTGTTCCCCGCTCTGTCTCTGGTGAATCTGCTCACCCTCCCACGCATCTGGCCTGTACCCTGGTTCTTATATAAATAAAATAAATCTTTTAAAAAAATTATGTTATTTTATTTTGAAATCTGCTTATAAGTTTAGAACATACAACCACTGAATCTTTGTCAGGCACTCCCATAACTCTTCTAATGATATGAATCACAAGGAATGTTTGTTAAAAATACAGTTCCTTAGCTCCCAATCCTTGGAGTTTTTGGTTCATCAGATCTGGGATGAGGCCAGGAAAATTGTATTTTTAACCAAAACCACAAGAAATTCTTATTCTCAGAGATTTGGGAAACAATATTTTCTGTGACCTAGTATCTAACATGCAGACCCCACAAGAACTTGAAATATATAATCTGTCAGGTGCTGGACTCAAGACTTGCCACATTTCTTTGTATTTTACAACATTCCATAAGACAGACAGTATTAACATCTCCAGGAATCAAACTCTGAAAGGATACCAACACAAAAGTTGAATAACTAGACCAACATCACAAAGACAAGTCTACCTGATTCCAAAGGTATCAGTTTGTAATTTCTGATTTTCAAATCTTACATCTCAGAAGGAAGCAGAATTCCAGTGACTTCACTCCTACCTTCATGCACTTCAGCATTTCAAGGTATTATTGAACATACACAATAATTTAAAAAGTGAAGTCCACCTTAAACTTTTCCAGTTGAAATATAAAATTGCTTAAAAGAATCATGTAGAAGTTATAGAGTAAGATTAAAGGGAGTAGATGGTCATAAAACAGGTTAATTATAGTTGATTTCTACATTAGTGTTGGGGTAGATGTTATTTGGTTATGAAGTACAGAGCCTATTTTGGTGGAAGTAGAAGGAAGAGTAAATAGGTTACAATTCTTGAGGGCATCTGTTGTGTTGTTTCTCTGAAGTTGGCTATTTAAACTACAAGGAGTGCATTCTTTTCTATGCGGTGCAGTTCTTAATCTTGACTAAAGGAACTAAAACAAGGCAATGCAGTCTGTTACCACCAACTTGTTCTGCATTAACAATGCTGACAAAGGAGATTCTCCAAAAACTCTTGATAAGCAAGTCTAGTTATAAGAGTCAGGTTGTCTTGTGCAAATGCAAGAAATCATTGATGTGAGTTGAACTAATTTTTTCAGAGAACGCAAGCTGAGTTGAGCCAGTTTTTGTGCACAAAAAAAAAAAAAAAAAAAAAGCTTTACTGTGAACTTGAAAGGTCCAGCAAACAAAACCTTCAAGCTTTTGATTCAGGAATGGGACAGGTAGTCCACAAAAGCATGGGATATGTAAGCAAGTTGATTGAAATTAATACTCCCTGCAGTTAGTTTGTGGTGTAGGTCTGGATGTAGACAATGATGATTATTTTTCAGTTTTATTATTAGATGTGGCTGTTTCCTTGACTTAGAAAATTTCTACTTCTACTTCCTTGGTTATTTCAATCAACATGTCATAATATTTCTACTACGACAGCGTACACAATATATTATATATATTACAACTATACATCAGGGAAGATGGTCATGGAAATAGGTTAATGTATGTTGGGGAGATTGTGGGTGGGATTTAATAACTGGTGATATTACAGTTTGGTAGTAAACTTGGCTCAAGGGAACTTCCGAAAAATTAACATATCCATCAACCAGTAAAAGTAGAGTTATATACTGGTCCCAATGTAATGAAGGTGTGTGTGTTGGGGGCGGGGGACAAAGGATGGTGAAGGCCTTCACCTTAAAGCACAATTTGCATATGAGGAAGCATCCTAGAGACCACAAATCGCCCTAGGTCCTAAAGCACTGAAATATGCCATTACTTTGTTAGCCTGAAAGGTGCAGGGCAAGATTTGGTCTCTGGGCTACTTGACCTTTAGCTTGATTCTTTCTGGTCCCAAGATAATATCATTGCAGTCACTATCGCAGTAGCCCAAAGAACACGTTTACTCTGACAGGTTGATTTGACTATCCGTGCTTTGGAAGAAAGGCTGAGCGGCAAGAGAAACCAATCAAAGGGCTATGAGAAGTAGTTCAACAGCTACTTCATATTTCCAAGGACACTATGAGAAAAAACAAGACTTGAAGCCCACAGTGAACTGCTGGTGTGTGAAGAATGATTTCCCTGATTACCCTCAGTGTCTTGTGCGTACCCCCCTTTCTCTTCTATTTTCCCTGCCTAGTTTTCTGTTTCTTTGCATGTGTCTTTCGCTCTCTTCTCTTTTCCTTCAGTCTTTTTCTCCTCTGTCATCACTTGTTCTTTGCTCTTCCCTTTTGTCTCTTTCTTTGACTTCCTTTTATCTCTTCTCTCCTCTACCACCGCCACCTCACTTCCATTCTTGAAATCAAGCATATAATAAAAATGAAATATAGCATATTTTAGCTATTTATACTTATAGATTATAATTTTATGCTTGTAATTCTTCATTTTTAGAAATAAGTTTTATTAATATACCATCAGTTTACAACACCAAATAAGTTTCAGGCCTGCCACTTCACAGCTTGATATGTATATATACCTCACTTCACCCACCACCAAAGTGTTAGAGCCATTTACAATATCAACTTGACCCTGCCAAAACATCCCTCCTCCCCCGCTTCCCCTTGGATAACCACCATATTTTTTCTCACAGTCTAGGAGTTATTTTTGCTGTGTCTTGTTACTTCATTTGCTTTATTTATATTCCAATATAAGTGAAACCATCTGGTAATTGTCTTTTCACTTTCTAACTTATTTCACTCAGCATAATTACCTCAATTTCCATCCAGTTGTTGCCAAAGGCAAGATTTCTTCCTTTTTATAAGTTGAGTATTCCACATCTTCTTTATCCAGTTATCCATTGATGGACATTTAAGTTGAGCTCCATGTCTTGGCTATTGCAATAATGCTATAAATATAAGGGTGCACATATCTTTTCAAGTTATTGTTCTTAAAATTCTCCATTTTAAAGTCATATAATTTTATGTCTTTCTTACAAGAAAATTGTGCAGAAGCAAGGTGGTGGAGATGGGAGAGACCTGAGAGCTCAGCCCCACACCACTCGCCCAGGAGTGAGTGCATCCTTGAGAAACTGTAGAGCTACAAAAGCAGGATGTGGAAGAGTTTACCACAGGTCCATTCGTCACGGTCACAGAGTCAGTCAAACTAGAACACATCAACTTCTTGGCCAGGGGCCAAGTAGAAGCCCCTGGGCGGTGGGGAGGTCTTCTACAGGCATTGCAACATGGTGCTGTGGAATGTGAAGGAAAGGTGGTGAGGTCCCCAAGAGCAGCAAGGGCAAGAAGAAATTCAAACCAGTCAAAATAATGTTCCTATGCTAGGCCTCCGTCCTCTTAGTGCAGCCGCCTCACTGCTGGCAAGTAAGGACCTCCTCTCTCATCTTCAGAACTCATTGCTGATGAGAATAATAAAGTGCTGTGTTGTTTTTTTTTTTAAAGATTTATTTATTTATTTATTTATTTATTTATTTATTTATTTATTATTTTTTTCCCCAAACATTAGATTTATTTACAACTTAGAAAGGAAACTTCACAACTCCACTAATTTGGGATTTCAATGAATGAGATAATTTACTATTTCTAGTAGAAGCCATAAGCAAATTCTAATCTTATATTTCCCTTTCATTAGATATTTTTCAAGAAGTTTGATTGAGAAATGCCAAATATGGTCATTTGATAATTTAAATATCCTGTTTTTTTTTTTGAAGATTTATTTATTTTTATACAAGAGTTGGGGTATAGGCCAGAGGTGTGGGAGGGTGAGAGGATTCACCAGAGACAGAGCGGGGAACAGAAGTCAGACTGACTGAAACACACTACTGAGGGGAGCAGTGGGCAAGACAGGAGAGGTCTGCTTTGCCATGTGGGTTACTCCCTGGCCAGCCGGGGATCTAATTTGTGCTGCAGAGGCTGTGAACAGCTTCACAGCGTTGTGCTCAACCCGCTGCACCACCGGGGAGGCCCTAGGCTGTGTGTTTTTTAAAGAAAGAAAATTTCTTCAACCAAATTATTACTTTTTCTTCTGAGAGGATTTTTATTTATGTAGGCCAATGTATCTTAATTAACAAAACATTTCCTAATAAAGGCGTAATATTTGATAGTCTATGAATTTATTTTTTAATCACAATTTAAAAATACATATTTAACAACATGAATAGACTTGTCTAAGGACTCCTATTTGATGGTGCTTTGTTATATAAATATACTGTCTATGTTAACAAATATAATTATTTGTAGATTATAAATTGCTTTAATGTTTTGTCTATATTAAATTCATATTACTTACACCCATTTTTTTTAAAGCTGGAAACAGATTTTAAGGACCTGTGTGTAAAATAAGAAAGTTAAGAAAGGCCCAGTTCTCAAGGGCAGAAAACTTTATCACAAAAAGTGGTGTGATTATTCTAGATGTTTGCTACCTTGACACCTGGCATACCTGAGATCAGGGGCTAAACCCATTGTTCTTTGAGAGTCTCCCAATTTTGAGAGTTATGAATCTATGAATCACAATCTAAAGGGAAAGAAAAAATAAAGCCTTTTCTCTTTAGTATATATCTAAGAAGCATTTTCCAAATAAGTTACTATTTCTTTATGTCATGCCATAATTTATCTACATGCCAAATGGGGATGCAGGTTCCCTGTTCTGGGTAACTACCTCTTCTACTGACCACAGCTATCCAAACACGTTTAGAATATAAGAACTTGTAATATATAGGTGTCCAAGGAATGCCCACCACCCCTCCATCTTCCCTCCTCGCCCCCTCACCAGCCCTTGAATCAACTCCTGGGAAAAATTGCAAATTAATTCCAGAGGTACTTAGAACTGGCATGAGTGTATGATCCCTTTTCTTGCGGATCTCTAACCCGGTCAACCAGTTTCTTGTGCTTTGTGAGATGGGAGAGTGGAAGCATCATGTAATAGTCAAGCAAGTTGGTCTTTCATCTCCACATGACTATCTCATAGGTCTATCACACTGAACATATCCAAATAAAAACCAAATCTCCAACACATTTTCTACTTCCAATCTCTCTGTCTCAATAAGTGTCACTACCATATGCCCAGGAATTTAAGCTGAAACCCACTGATTTTAATTCTTGTTTTACCTCACTCCTCAAATCCTATTCAGCAAGTTCTGGGAATTTTGAAAAAAGTCTTCTAAAATAAATCTTGAATTTCACCATCTTTGCTATTGTCATCACATTCCAAGCCACCATCACTAGTCATCTGGATTATTACAAAAGCTACCTAACTGTTTCAGTGTTGCTCCTCTGTACTCCATCTTCTATCCAGAAGATAGAATCAGCTTTTGAACATAGAAATCAGTACATATCTCTTCTTGAGTAATCCAAACCTGGATATGGCCTCTATTTTTGTAACTGGAATAGAGTCAGTAGTCTTACCATACCTGGTAAGATCCCACAAGATTTGACCTCTTGCCTGCCTCTACAACCTTATCACCTCCCTCCCACCCCTTTGTTCAATACACCTATTCATGAAGCTTCTGTGGATTTAGTGCCTTTGAATGGACGTTTCCTCTGCCTGGTATATTTTTCCCCAGGCCTTCTTAGAGCTATCTACTCAGAGTTTAGGGCTCATTTTGATTATCTGCTCCTCAGAGAAGCCTTCCCCCCACTCGACCTATTCATTAGACTTTGGGGGGTGGTATTTGATTTTTAAAATTACATGCATCAATTATTTTCATGTTTTAATTAAGGTAAAAATAAATACATAATTAAGGTAAAAATATAAATAAAATAACCTCTCTAGTCACTATTATTTCACTTTTTCCTTCATTGCAAGCATCATTTTTAAAAATTAATTTTCTTTGTATTTTTATTTGTTTATTGTGTTATTTGTTTCAATGACCCCCCCTCTCCACCACATCAGAGTATCCTAACAGCTACAAGGTCTTCTGTACTTTGCAAACTCTTTTAAAATATTCGTTAAATAGTAGATGTCAGCCAATGAGAAGAACGATGTTTCCTTTTGACTGAAAATGGTCACATGCTTTCATTTGAAAAGAGTGTTTTAATGAAATATTTTGTTCAAGTTTAGTTCTATTTGTATATTGAAGTACTACTGCCCATACTCATGCTCATGGAATGGCTCCTGGATAGAAATGAGAAATTGTCAACACATGTATAAAGCTTATATCGAAGATGGCAAATAGGCCCTCCGTCCACTTGGCAAGGCAATGAAAAGGATCAATGGAAAAACTGAAAAGCAAACGTAATGCTGATTTGGACCTGACAGCTAACATCTGAGTTCTGCTTTCCAGACACTGGTGAATTGCATGGAATTGCTGATGCTAGACATGAAACAAGATTCCGAGACTGCCCTGGGCTTGTTTACAGCACAGAGAAAATGGAAGAAGAGAGGAGAAGAGTTGCCTGGAGATTCCAAATAGGATACAAGGCAATGAGGAAGTTGGTAAGGCAAATAATTGTGAATTAGGGCTTTGAAAAATAAGAGTCTTCACTAATTGAGTGTGTCTATAATCCCTATAGAAATGATAGATATAGGCATTGTGTCCCTATTTTACAAAGGAGTAAACAAGCTCAGGCGATAAAATGACTGGCGAAAGCCACACAGCTGTGTAAAAAGTGGAGCAACGACTTAAACTAGATTTTTCCAATTCCAGAGCTGATACACTTTCCATACATTACACTGTCTTCCTTGTGAGGATGCGCTCCATTTATTCCTGCAATTCCCGATCCCAGGTTAAGTGCCCTGGAGTAGCACCCCATGGCATTATGCCCAGTTAGACAAAATGATTCTTCTGCCCATGAAGGGGTCACCTAAAAGAAATGTCCAAAACTGAGCTGGCTGCAAGTTTGCCAACTCTGCAGGTTCCATACCTCATGCTCACGCCTCCTCCTCCTCAATTGCTTTCTCAGCATCACCTGAAGCTCACCACTGCGTCCACTGGGGAAACACCTCCCAGGTGCCAATAATAAAGTTACTCTGGTTGTGGTGAGAGGGCAAAGGGCAGATAAGCAAAATCACTGCTAAGAACCGCCCCCCCGCCCCAGCAGGCCTAGGCAATGTGAGCTGAGGCGCTCAAGTGTGCAGCCCACACCAAGAGAAAGAAGTGGGTAAGACACAAAACTGAAGAGGAGGGTAGGATGAGTAAGAGAAAAATCTCCCTGACAGAGATGAATTAGTTATGGGACCAACTCCCTGAGGTAAGAGTGGTGACTCCATCGCTATCTCTCGAGCAAAAAACAGGTAACAGAGGACAAAGGGGGACATCAAGGACTCATAGGTGCTTTTGACCTCTGAGTTTTATGAAGATGAATGAAGCACATTTGAATGGAGGAAGAAGTTAAAAAATGATAAAAAAATGAAAAGATAGAGCTGATTCAAGCACTGCAGAGGAGAGGAGTGGGCTCTTTGGACCCCTATCTTGAGTGACAAAAAGAAATTTTTCCAACTGGAAGATGCAAATCCATGCAGTTAAGAGGTTTTTTTTTTTTAATACTTTTTTTAAATTGAAGGACCACTGATTTACGTCATTGTTAGAATTCTGGAAGTATAGGGTCTTCCCCTTCACGTTAGTCTCTGTCACACAACCCCCACCGAGGTACCCACAGTCCTCCACCACAGATCCAGAGTCTAGTCTCTGCCAGTTGCTAATTATATGAACCTGAGAAAATTAGTCTTTCTAAGCTACAAAATAGGAACTATACCCTATTATACACTTGTTCTCGTTAAAAAAAAAAAGATGACACCATTACAAAATGTTCTTGTGAAATTTAAATGAGCTACTCATGGAAAGATACTACCTAGCGTAGTAAACACTAGATGAATGACATTATTATTGGGCCATGGATTTGTGTGGAGGGGGAAGTACGACTGGGTCATTATGAGGTCAAATGGTGGGGATATGTCTTTCTTTTAAACTCAACAAGGCGGCCTTCTTGGCTTAAATATTTGCTTTCCTGAGATCTCACAACTTCTCTACTTACTTGACCTTTGTCTCTCAAGAAAGATGAAGACCAAATATGATAGATACTCTACCTCTTGACACACTTGTTAACAAGCAACTTGTCCTGTGCTGATACGCCAATCATTTTGAGGAGAAAGCCATCTCCCTGCAGAAGGGTATTGTGCACCAAAGATAGTACTATGTCACTGTACATTTATCCAATGACTTTGAGTTTACAAAGTACTTTTATCCAGGAAAGGTTACTAGCTTCATTTTTCAGATGAGAAAATAGAGACAGAGAGAAGTGAAGGAACTTGATGAAGGTGACATAGATGGTGGGTAGGGCAGGGATCCACACATGCCTCTTCTGACTCTAAGTCTGGGGCTCTTTTATACCACCAAGTTGTGTAAGGGTTTTGAGCAAATAGCAGATTAGAAAGGCAGTTGCTTGAATGGGAAGGAGCTTTCAAATTTCCTAATACTATAGTTTTTAGACTTTTTCCGGGAAATCCAGCAGGCAGTAAGGAAGAGTCAAGTAGGAGGTGGGATTGTATGCAGCCCAACTTTATCAATTAAATCATTAAAATATACCTAAAATATGTTTAAAACATTAAGACTTGCCTTCAAAAAAGAGAAAACTCCTGAGCTACTGATCTACTTGAACTGTTTCATATCTCCAAGGATATTGAGGCCCAGTCTGTCTAAGTAACTTGTACAACTCTCAGACTACTTATGTGTAGAGGCATTTTTGTGAAAAGGGTATGAGCATTGCAGACTACTGAACAGAGACCATTTTCCCTGCCCCTACATACATGCAGCACCTTCGTATACCATGAACCAGACTTCCTGACCTGGGGAGCTAACGAGATCTAGTGACAAAGTTAAGCAGCCCCGATATAACATGGAAGGCAGGCACACCTACCTCTCTTGCTTCTGCAGCCTGATTTGCCCTCTGGTACTGCTGGGAAGGAGACTTGGAGGAGAGACATGCAGAGACATGTGGAGTCAGGGATAAAGTTTGGACCAGCACTTTGTCTTCAACAGCTGCATATTTGATAAGAATGTCATAAATAACTGTCATTATCCGAATATTTTTCTTTCCTCAAGCAAGCCACTTACTCGTGACAACCAAATCATTGAGGAGAAATTAGTCCTGAAGTTAGACTCTTCTGATGGCTCTCGATGTGACAGTGGACCACCCAGCGATCTCTGCATCCCCAGCACTTCCCTAGATAAAATGGTCTGATAATTCCTATTGAGGCGCTCAGTTGGACTGTTGTGATGACTGTAACACAAACAAAACAAAACAAAACAAAAAACATAGGGAGGTTCACAGGGGTTTTCTAGGGAAAGAGACTCAGCAAGTTTTATATCTTATTATTTACAAATGCCTGCCAAATGTGTCATTGCTTAAGCTGATCGCTGCAATTTCCACCCTGTGTATTTGTTCCTCATTTTAGAGGGCAATGCATTTTACTTTTGCAACCACATCAAGTACAACTGGTTTATGAAATAGTCTCAACAATTTCTTATCTCATTGACTTTCTGATAAGACTTTGTGATTTCTTACTACTTGCAAAGGAAAAGTGAATCTTTTAAGGTTAAAATCCTTTCCTTCTGTAAGTTGAAGAGGCAGCTCTCACTACTGAGGTCCAACAAGCCTGGAGAACTCAGAGCCAGCTGAGATTAAATGGCCTGTGTCCAGATTACAGAGTCTGGAACCCTTCCACCTAACTGGCAGTTTCTCTTGCATCAACAAGGAATTCTAAGAAAATACTAACATAGAATTTCAGACTGCTTCTTAAAGGCAGTCTAATTTATTTGTGACCTTGGCCAAGTTCTTAATTCCTGAACTTACTTTCTCACTTGTAAAGAATAGATGTCATCTTCCCTTTCTACCTCATTGGGCCATTAGGATCAAAGACAGAACACGAGGTGGCATGTTTCTAAAACTGAGAAGTGTATACTAACTAAAAGAATTGTTATTTTTAAGAAGATGGGAAATACTACACTTATTTATATTGTGCATTTCAACTTAGTCCTCTCAATTTGGTGGAAATACCCACTTGGAAAAATCAACTACTCAGGTAAGATATTTTAATTTGTGCTGAACTCTATGAAGAAAGCAAATTGAGCACTACTGGAAAAGGCAGAGTTAGAACTAGGGAATTAGCTCCTTAATTATCATTACACAGAAAAAGAAATGTTTGTATATTTTTAATTAAGAACACTTCAAATTAATATAAGAAATTAAACAGACCTGTGCCAAATTTCTGTTCTGGATGTCCCAAATTTTTAACTACCTCTCTTGGAAAACAGCACTTCTATGCTTATCCATGTTGACTGATACTTTTAAAAATCTGGACCTCATTTCTATTATACACACAAGCCAGCCACAGAAGCCAACCTATATTTTAAGAGTGCAGTGTTTACTAATGGATGTCTGGCTAGAAACAGTGTTGGCAGAATTCTGGCAGAGGCATCTACTCTCACTAATGATGTGGAACAGAGCTGCATAATCATGTCCACTTGTATTAAGTCTACCCAAGTGTGTCATGTTTTGCAATGGAACCAGAAACAAGCACCATCACCACCCCCAAAGTCCTAGAATCTTCCTGGAAGGGGCATTACATCAGAACTGGTTCAGACCAGTTCACTTATTTCATTTAGGAGCTTCTTTACAAAGTAACTTCACAGAGTACGGTGAATACAGTCTGTTTGGCAGAGTAGTTAGAGACATAAAGACAATAAATATATCCTAAATATCAACCATCTCAAGCCAGGAAAAATCTATCAAACATTTTTTTGGAAACTACATTAAGTAGTGCTCTCACACATATACTGACAGATCCTTAAGACAGGACACTCAATCCACTACCACTTTCTGAGCCGCACACAGGAAAGCTATTGCCAGTCATGCATTATAATCCCTCCACCAACCCCCACCCCTAGTTGTACCTGGGGACTAAGAGCAGCCACAGTTAGTCATCAACAAGGAAAAAGACAATGGAGTTCATTTGTGTGGGCCTTGCTACTATATCGCTTTTCTGGGGAAGAGTAATTTCTGGCCATTAAAAAACATTGATTCCAAACTTAGATATGTGGGAAATCATTTGGTACTTAATAGAATTCAAGTCATGCACAAAGCCCTGAAAAATTAAAATGAACAAGGAGCTAGGCAAGGAAAATAAACAGTAAGTCTTTAAAATGGAAATCTTGAGACTAAAGGAATGGCTGTTATCATATTAGTATTGCTGAGTATTAAAGATGTCATGATACTGATATAAAATGTCTTTCCCCTCTACCTAGGTCCTAGATGCCAAAGAACCTCCATTCCATTTTCTGAAATTAGATGCTGTTTAAAAATTTTTAGAAATAAACCATGAAATGTTTACTTCACACTAAAAACACATTACTTTTTGCAGATTAAGTATTAAACAACATCATTATCCATATTGATAATTTAATCGCAATGTTTGTAAAAAATCCACCTTAGAAATAT